ATAAGAACACTTAACAAAATAAGCATAGATAGGACTTACCTCAAAATTATAAAGGCCATATGCAACAAACCCACAGCTGAGCTCATATTGAATGGGAGAAACTTGAAAGCATTCCCACTTAGAACTGGAACCAGACAAGGCTGCCCACCATCTCAACTTCTTCTGGGAAGTCCTAGCTAGAGTAATTAGGCAAGAGAAGGAAATCAAGGGTATCCAAATGGGGAAAGAAGAGGTCAAATTATTGCTCTTTGCTGATGACATGATCTATATGTATAAAATCCCAAAGATTCACCAAAGAGACTCCTGAAATTGAGAAATAAATTTAGAAAAGTCTCAGGCTACAAAATAAATGCATGCAAATCAGTAGCTTTCATATATGCCAACAACAGTCAAGCTGGGAATCAAATAAAATACACAATACCTTTTTCAGTAGCCACAGAGAAGTAAAATACTTAGGACTATACTTAACAAAGGAGGTGAAAAACCTCTATAGGGAGAATTAGGAAACACTCAGGAAGGAAATCGCAGAGGATGTAAACAGATGGAATAATACACCATGCTCATGGATCAGCAGAATCAACATTGTTAAAGTGGCTATTCTACACTAAGTGATTTACAGATTCAATGCAATTCCTATTAAAATATCGATGGCATATTTTACAGATCTAGAAAGTGGTTTGTAGGAAACCAGAAAAGACCCCAAATAGCCATGGCAACCTTACCTAATAAGAACCAAGTGAGGTGATTCACTTTACCAGATTTCAAGCTACATTACAAAGGTATAGTAACCAAAACAGAATGGTATTGGCACAAAAACAAAGACATAGACCTATGGATCATCACAGAGAACCCAGACATGAAGTCATCCTCATATTCCTATCTGGTTTTTGACAAGACAGATAAAAACATACAGTGGGGAAAAGAATCCGTGTTTAATAAAGAGTCCTGAGAAAACTGGACAGCCACGTGCAAAAGACTGAAACAGGATCTGCACCTCTCACCACTCACCATGTATAACTTTGACTCAATCTGTATGAAAACAAAATATGTAAACAAACCTTGTACTCCCTAATATTCTGAAATAAAATAAATAAATAAACAAATAAATAAAAGTTGTCCTCTGGCTCAATGCCCATAGCACAGTGGTTACAGAGCCAGCCACATACACTGAGGCTGGCAGGTTTGAGCCTGGCCCGGGCCAGCTAAATAACAATGACAACTGCAACAAAAAATAGCCGGGCATTATAGCAGGCACCTATAGTCTCAGCAACTTGGGAGGCTGAGGCAAGAGAATCGCTTGAGCCCAAGAGTTTGAGGTTGCTGTGAGGTGTGATGCCACGGTA